ATGCTTTCATATGCAAAATATCTAATTTTTTTATTAAGTCTTAAGGTTTGTGAAGCAATGTTTATCTCATGCCTTTTTTCTTTCTTTTCACATCTTGCCTATCTATCATGAAAAGTAAGTAATCCAGCAAAGTGGATTGTCTATGACTTGATGGTGCATTTTGTCTTCACCATATATGATCATAAGGTGACTTCATATATTGATGATGAAGTAGAAAATTAGTTGCAGTTATGATGGGGAAAAAATGTATGGTGTCTGGGGATTGCTTGGCCCCTGGAAGCTAGAGGGTTTTAAGATATTCTAAAATGAAATCTGGGACTAAACCTTCGCTTAAAAGTCTGTTCAAATGAAACTAATATTTTTATCATTGTTCAAGACTGTAGAAATTAGTTTTGTTTTATAAGGCCTTAATAATTTGAAGTTTTTTTTTTTATTTCCATGATTTACAGATTATCAGTATAATACTGAAATTCTTCCTTCCAGTGTCATTATTTTTGTCCTAACAGTTCAATCATGAACTTGAAGTTCAAGTGTTTGTGTTAGGCTTAAAGAAAAAGTTAAGAGATAAATAATTATAAATACTCAAATGCAAAAACTTAAACATTCATGTCATACTAATACTACTGAGCTGGCATGGCATGTTGGTTAGGGAACCGGACTCACAATCTGTGGATGGTGGGTTAAAATATTTAGTGGCATAACATTCTTTCCCTTTCAGACACGAAGGAGCTATAATGCCAATAGTTACCTTCTCTCTATCACTTCAAAATTAGAGTAAGCTAGTGCAGAATAGCCCTTGAGAAGCTTTGCGGATAATTCAACAAACGCGTTTTTCATTTTTGTTCCCTTACAGAAAGCAGAAATACATAATTTTTGTGCTAGATGCACATTTTAACTAAGTATTAATTTAAGAGCAAAAGGTCACATTTTAAAAAATTCATATTTTTTGTATTTTGTAGGATAATGGGGAAATACTAATGCCATCTGATATGAAAAAGTACCAAGAATATGGTGGGAGAAAAATTTTTATGGAGATAGATGAAGTCAATCAGATTAAACATTTTGATGATCCAGGTAAATATGAATGTCAGTAGATAAAAACGTTTTCATATATATTGGTTGGTCTTTTTAACACTTCAAACTATTTTTGTAGTGAATAAAATTAGACTACTGAGTAATATGTCATAAATTTACATGGAGTATTATTATTATTGTTAACAATAAGACTTGTAATTTGAGGAAAACAATGGTAGTGAACTTCCTTTCTGAGATTTTAAACTGGTTAGTTTGTTTTCCAGTATCTTTTTCCTGTTTATGAACAGTGCTCAATTGTAAGTGGACTGTGATGTTTATGACTGTTTGGTACATTTTGTCTTACTGTTTTTGACTAGACGTATAAAATGATTTCGTAGATTGTGGTGAAGCAGAAGATTGAATATGTACATGATGAGAAATAATATGCAGGTGTTTGGGAACCACTGTGTAAGCTCGAGGCTTTTAAGGTGTTCCAAAATAAAATTTAAGGCTATTCTTTACTTAAGAATATTGTTTAGTGTAGGTAGTATTATTATTAATTTATTTAGTGTTTGTAATTCATTGATGTCAAAGTTATCAAACATTGTGTTTGCAATCCATTGATTTCAAGGCTATGGAGATTTCTAGAAGGCTTAAGTGATAGATGTATAAATAACAGTGACCAGATGAGAGGAAGGTGAGAGTAAAAAAGTAAAGTCACAGGATAGAGAAGTTCGGGAAGAGAAAAGTTAGAAAACGGTTGATACGTTAGAGTGAGATTAATAGTTTGAAAGAGATAAGGAGAATAATTTGTCTTGTCAAAGGGTATTCTAAAGTAATTGAACCTGTCTGTGTGGACTTTGATGAAAACAACTGTAGTAACGCAACAACAATGTAAGCGAACTATACATGGATACTATAGCAATAAGAAATAAAGAAATATCGTTCAGCTTGTCAACAGAATTCTAAAGCAATTTAATTGGCCTAAGTGGACTTTTGACAAGAAGAAGAGAACTGTATAGTGTTTAAGATACAACTGTGATCTCCATTTGGAATTTTTGTATATATGTTTGACTTGTTTTGAATATATTAGGTCATCAAGAAATTATTGTCACATTTTGGAACACTTTCATTCCCCCCCCCAAAAAAAAACGTACGTCGCATATAATAGTTAAAACGAACCGCCTAAACGTCACATTAGTGTAGCCTATATAATGTGTAAAGTTTAGTATACTCTAATCCCTTATGGTGATGATACACGATGAGACACACATTCGGCATGTAATGCTGCTTGAATACAAGAAGAGAAACAATGCCTCTGTAACCACAAAGAATATTAAAGAAGTTTATGGAAATGTTTTGAATGTTCGTAAGTGTCAATGATGGTTCATAAAATTTCGTTCAGGTGACTTTAGCTTTAAAAACTGTGATGGCAGGGGCCGACATGTTGGAATTGATATTGATGCTCTGAAGATGCATGTTGAGTCTAACCCAAGGCCACAACCTCTGAAATCGCCCTGAAATTGCATGTCTTTCATGAAACAATACGTAAATATCTAAGGAATATGGGA